TTCCTTTCTGTTGGCCCTCCCTTTAAGAATTCCTCAGTAAATCCGAGTCTTTGAGATGGCTTTAGTCTGGCCATTCTCCGTCAGGTTTACCAGAGACATGGGTTAGCCTACCATCTATCCTCATGTCACCAATACTCCCAAATAAAAGCTGACTTCCATTTTCACCAACATTTGACTTTTGAGTGGTTTGTTTTTTAAAGGGAGCAGGCAGCCAGACCTGTGTGCACTGTAACAATGCCAGGATTTGTGGTATTGCAGCCCTGACCATAAGCTTGTGATAATTGCAATGTTATGATTTAAAAATCGAAGTCATGCTGAGAAGGACTAGATGGCAACTCCTCTAACTGACAGAGAGATATTATAATGCTACTCTCCAGAGCAAAAATGGTCAACTTAGGCTTCCACAATGTTCATGTGCATTCTACGCTGAAGCAATGTATTTAGACATACTTATAATGAGGGGCTGTCGGGTTAGCTCAGCAGGTTAGACCAAAGTCCAGGGTTTGATCCCTATAGTGGTCAGCCACCCTCGCCCCACTAAAAAATTAGACATACTTATAATGAAAGTAAAGCCAAAATGAAAACCTTGGACAAAAATTCTAAAAGGGCTAAAAAGTAGCAGAAAGAATAATAAAAATGCCATGGACATCTACAGTTCTCTCATGAAACTGAACTTAATCCAATCCATACATACTGGTTGGTCCCTTACTATAGCCACTTTAGGCTTGCCTTTAGCAACCTAACTGGTATATGAACAGAGGCGCTAAATTCATTGCTCATTTCAGTAATGCTTCAGCAAGTGTTCCCTGAACCAGAAAGACATTCCATTCTATATCCTAAATAGTGACAAGTCTTCATTCTCTGAGGCTGAGTATACTTTTTTGGAAAGAAAAGACAATTAATATATGTTAAGCACTTAGAATAGTGCCTGACACATAGTAAGAGCTATATAGGTATTAGCTATTTTTATTACTTTTAGTCAGGGAATGGAATATGATAATAAGACATTTTATCATGCAGTCCATCAATTTAATATGTCATCATCATCTCTCTCCAGGATTCTTGCAGAAACCTCATAACTGTGGCCCACTCTTTCCTCCTCCTCTCCTCCTTGCTGCTCCTCCAGCATACCAAGGATGCTTCCGCCACAGGACCCTTGGCACCTTCCTGCATATATCCTCATGCCCATGCCTTCACTTCCTTCAGGCGTCTGCTCATCTTCTCAGTGAAGCCATTCCTTACCATCCTATATAAAGTCTTCCATCCATTCCCCCTTTATATGCTTTATTATTCTCCATAATACTTATCACAATCTGAAATATAGAAATCATTTATTTTCTGAAGGGCTGGCCAGTTAGCTCAGTTGGATAGAGCACCGTCTTGTAATACCAAGGTCAAGGGTCTGGTTACCCTTACTGCCCACCATCAAAAACAAACATTTATTTTCTGACCATCCTCCCCCGCCTTCAGTAAACACATTAGAAGGTAAGTTCCATGTGGTGGGGACTTTGTCTTTTTGCTCATTGTTGAATAGTAGGTGTTCAATAATTATTTCTTGAATGAATGAATTCAATAAGTGTTTACATCTAGTCTACTATTTGCTAAGACTTTTTTTTTCTTACTTGTTTAGTCCTCACAAACCTTTAAAGTGAGTATTATCATCACCGTTTAAAAAAAAAAAACCAAAAACCCAAGCCTTGATAAGATTATATATATTACCTTTAGTCATAAGCTTCCAAGTAGAAGAGACAAGATTTTATTTTTTTGGCAGCTGGCAGGTACACAGATCCTAACCCTTGATCTTGGTGTTATAACATCATACTCTAACCAACTGAGCTAACTGGGCAGCCCTAGAAGAGCAAGATTTAATCCCAGGTCTAGTCTAAAATCTCCAGCCACAACTTATATGCTGAAGGGATCATTTAAGTATTAAGGCTTTATGTATTTGTTCAATAAATACCAGGGTCTTCAAAAAGTTCATGAAAAGGGCTGGCTGGTTAGCTCAGGTGGTTAGAGCATAGCCTTATAACAGCAAGGTCAAGGGTTTGGTTCCCCATACCAGCCAACCACATTAAAAAAAAAAAAAAAGATAATGAGAGAATTCGTGTTATCTTTTAATTCTATTTTTCCATGAACTTTTTGAAGTGCCTTTACATTTATTGTCTAAACTGACACATACTGTGACAGTCCCTGATGATACAGTGGTGAACTTGTCACATAGAAGAGAATTTGTGTCACTGATTCACCAACAACTAAGCAGAAAATACTAATTCTTGGGAATAAGGGACTGAAGTTTAAAAGTCCATCAGCAGCAGCAACCACCGCCTCTGAATGCCTTCCAGTATGCTAACACTATTTGAGGCAAAGTATTATAAAACACTAACCAAGAGGCTCTCAAATGAGGGGAAGCGTATGTGTCAGGATATCCTGTGGAGTTTTAATGAAACCCTTACACAGGTTCCTGAGATTCCAGCAGTTATGCTGATTTAATAAAATGGGGTGGGGGTAGGAGTCCTGCATAATTCTAAAACAATATACCTTCTCTCCCTTTGAGAAGCACATCTTCCTTTCCTTACGTAGCTCAATGTGTTTTTCCGTTTTGAAATCTCTGTTTGCCCAAAGGTAATAAAGTAATTATAGAGATTTATTTAGACATAAACTATCATAAAACTTTAAACACTTAGGATTTTCCCTAGAGACCTAAAGACAAAGGCTACACAGAAGAGAAGAAAGGAGAGGTAAATGTAAGGAACATTACTATGTTAGAGATTACATACATCGTCTCATTTACTTATCTGAAGAAATTCGCAAGCTGGCATATCTTCAAAAGAGCAAACCAAGTATTTTGCCTAAGCCATAAGGTAAATGAGTTTTCCTCCACTGCAGCATCAGGGTAAGTCTTCCTCAAAGTGTATAAAGTACTTTTGAATTCAGAAATGTTACACTAGGATCCCAGTGAAGAAATGAGCCAGGTATAACTTCCTATCTCATCCTCATCCGAGGAAGTAACTCAAAGTCCCTATAAACACATTTCCCAATTACCAAGTGGGTGTCAAAAAGCTAAATCCACCGAAAAGGCAGTTATTATTGTGAACCTTACCCCGATTTAAAAACATACAAAGTGGAACCGACCAATAAGCTCAGTAGGTTAGAGCACGATGTTGATAACACCAAGGTCTAGGGTTCAATCCTTGTAACAGGCCAGCTGCCAAAAAAAAAAAAAAAAAAAAAAAAAAAATCACAAACAAAAGCCACATAAAATAGTGTGGCTAAAAAAAGGAAATTCTGCCCTTGGGGTCAGGTCAACTCTAGTTTAGCATTCTGACTTCTTTCATTCTTGTACACATCCATTCCGTGTTATATTCCATGGCACACAAGACTATTTATACTTATTATTCCCGCTACAGAATTTAGCTCCTTTTTTTTCCTTGCTATATCCTCAACATTGAACATACAGACACTGAACAAATGACTGCTGGTGGAATGAATCAATGAATGGAATGAGCAAGCCTCGCTCTTCTCATCTGTAAAACGGAGATAATCAAGCTACTTTACAGGACTGTTGGAAGAATTAAATAAGACGTAAGTAACGCTGTGTTCGCCATATAGAGGGCCGAAAAAAACACTACCTTCTTTGCATTTCCACCAGACAAGCTAGGAATGAACATGCACTGGGCCCGTTTTGGAAAGCAGGCCCCGCCTCGCCCCAGAAACCCGGGAGAGAGGCCAAAGTAATTGGAAACTCGGAGCTGTCATACCTAAAGCCTGAGAAGGTGGGCTTGCCGGAGGCGGCGGCCCCGGGACCAGCGTGTGGGGGGAGGGGGAGGCGGAGGGGAGGGAGCGCAGGCCCGGGCCGGCGGGCGTGCAGGAGGCGGCGGCCCCGGGGCCGGCGTGTGCGGGGAG